GCACCTTTACAGCAGCGCTAGCACTGGCTGACTTGACGTGGTCCGGTGGTGCAGTGGAAAGAGAGGCGCCTCGCACATGGGCAGTGACGGGATCGCCTTCGTTCCCCGGTTCATTTTTGCTGACCAACCATCACATATTACATATCAGTCTGGGTTCTCTTGTTTGAGGATTTGTCTAACCTTCACAGTTCGAAGTACGTTTCAGCCGTAAATGGGCACCCATGTAAAATCAGGACATTGAACAGTGATCGAAGGGTATTTCGGCGGGCTTTGATGGCTGTGTCACCAAGGTTGGGCATGGCCTTCAAACGGCTAAATTTGAGCTGTAGACATGACACCAGCGCGGTGAGGTGGTATCGAGGGTGTATTCTCGGTGAAATGGATTTTGTCCGCGTGTCGACCGGCTCAATAACAAGAACGAAATAACGCGATGGCTGATGTATGAGGTGATCCACGAGGGAGAATCAACGCAGAATCTTCGGAAAAGTTGGCATTGCCTGGACCCGATCGCAAAGGCGCGCAGTTGTGAGCAGAGCCACACAAGGTCGGCCTCTGTTTTCTTTTCCGGGGTTATCGACGACCGCATATCACCCTCACAAAAACACCTGGGAAAACCATATTGCTCTCGCTTCTTCTTCCCCTGGCTAGAAAGATCTAGGAAGGAGTCGTGGCCGCTTGAAAATGTGATGTGCACCATCTGATGAGTTTTTGACGTTCTATATTTACTTATGTTTGTCAATGTTTCTGGCCAGCATGAAGTACGTAACATCCTCGCGGGACACCGGGCCCAATGAGAACCAATTTTGGTTCCCATTGGGACCAATTGCCGCTCGGCGGAATTTTGCTAATCAAGAATCACATATCGGTCTATGCTCTCTTGTTCAAAGATTTGCCTATTCTTCCCAGCTCGGAATACGTTTCAGCCAAGAGTGGGACCCTCCAGAAACCACCGAATTGGTCGCGAAACAGAGTATCGCCCCTACATGACCCCCCAAGGCGCTACATATTTCAGACCCCTGGTTCCCACAGGTCCGGTTGGGTCCCGTGAGGCAGGTTTGCGTGCCCAAATGGATTGAGTTTGGGTGACACCAGGTGACGGCAATGGCATCTTGGGAAAAAAATGCTGTTGGAACAGGTGTGAACTGAGCACACCCCTGGTTCCACCGGCTGAAATATCATCCCTTAGCAAAGCCAGATTTCCAAGATTGGCTCTAGCGCGATTCGTGGGCTTTTCAGGCGTGACTGGCAGTCATCGCATGAAGCTGAAATGGCAAAGCAATTCCATGGAAATCACAAGGCACATGGGTTCATTCCGCTCCTCAAAACCTCGTGTGATGTGGAGACAAGTGGCAAAACGCGATAAAATTCTCAACCAGGATGCATAGCGGTAGCTGCTTTCTTGTCATCGAGCCAGTCAATATGAGTGCAAAAACCATCATATCAATCGATATCTATTATTATCTATTGCAAGGCAAAAGTGACGAGACTTTTCTCATTATCAGTAGCGGATTGTGCCTGGATGTAAAAATTGGTCCAACGAGATTCTATTGGAAGGCCTTGGGTTCTACTGGGTCAGGAGTTTGGTGGACGTTGGCAGCACTTTCCCCTCGCACCTGCACCACACTCGGGCTCATGTGCTGCGTCTGTGCCCAACTTCGGACCAGTGTTTCGGGAAACAGGGCGGCTCGACTGGATGTGTTTGCACAGTCAGATAAACCCAATGGTGTAAAAATCCCCAGCTGCAAACGGGTCATACCCTCTTCGACTGAGCCAATTCAGAGCTGAAACGTACTCAGAGCTGGTAAGGTGCAGTAAATCTTTAAATAGGAGAGCCCAGACTGATAAGTGGCTGTTGATGAGCAAAATTGTGCACTGAGCGGATTCGAAACCACCATTTCGCAGACGAGAGGCACCCTTCATTCCACTGCTCCATTAGACCACTTCAGCTCGTACGTTTCTAGGCTGCTGTTATAGGTTCCGTCTGCGTTCCAGTTTTCGGTTCCGGAGGCAGGTTATAGAGCTGTCGTCAGCTTAATAAAGGTGATTCTCTCTTGGCTGACTTGTTCTACTTCGACTCCATTTTGAAATATCGTTCAGCTCAGGTACGCAATCAAATAGCTCTGCAGTTCTAAAGCATATGGAATGCACGGCGTAGTAAGTGAACGAAGCCTGAAATTGACTTCTCGATCTTTCACTACACAAGCCTCGAATTTGGAATTTGCCTTTTTATTGCCCAACAGATTTTTCTATAATTACCTTCATTGATTATTCGCTTGATTCTGACGATTTTTTATATGGTAAGCCTGAATGATTAGCTCGCAAACCAATTAAAGGAATCTTCCGCGGAAAAAGCTCCGCCTCCATTACCACAGAAAAACGATACCCCTTAGGGCCCCTAGCCTCATGAGCATAGCAAAAAGAACGGAACATAAGCGTTAGTTTCGATAATACTAATCCTACACACAAGACAAAATGATCACTCTTTCCGTGGAAGATTCCTTTAAGGTATCGTTTTCTGTGGTAATGAGGGCGGAGCTTTTTCCGTGGAAGATTCCTTTAAGCAGTAAACCTGGTGATTCTATGTAAGTTTGTGGCTGGAGTAATCCTCTCGCCTTGACACGGGTATAAGCCATGCACTTGACCGCTCTAAACATCAAACGATGCACTAACAATATGGTCCAAACGGTCACTCCAACCTATTACTCTTTCCTTGTGAGTTTGCCTTCATTGGCATGAGCAAAAACAACGCCCGGAATATAAACTACCACTTCACTTCCAGTTCCCTCCATACTCCTTTAGCTGCTGTGAAAAAAATTATGGGAAAACCGTTTATGTTTATTACAACAAAAAACTGACATTCATCAAAAACTACAGTTATTAAATTATCGACTGGGAATGGGATTTGTGTGCTGTTGTCACTGTAGAAAAGGCAAATACACCCAGACAGCTTGTATTTTAGCAAAGAATCAGAGTCATCTACATAAATCACTTTCAAC